TTTGTTTGATTTCACCTACACCTCAGACGCCATGTCCTTAAGTCAGTAATTAGCTTTGAACAATAACAGCCACTGATTATTCACAGCTTTATCTCGCTTCAAAATCCCCATATAATCCCTCACAGCGCCTCCCGGCATATTGGTGGCTGAGTAGGTGGGCTGCTTAGAAAGTGTGATAGATGGAGTTTACTGTGCTGATGATGCTGATGCTGATGCTGATGCTGATGCTGATGCTGATGCTGATGCTGATGCTGATGCTGATGCTGCTTCTGTCTCTGACCCAGCTAATAATAATAATAATAATACATATTATTATTATTATCATAATTATCATAATTATTATTATTATTATTATTATTACTATTGACACCATTTGATAATAGACAACCCTGTCTGCCATCACTCATTCTCCCTACCACTATATGCTGATGCTGATGCTGATGCTGCTTCTGTCTCTGACCCAGCTAATAATAATAATAATAATACATATTATTATTATTATCATAATTATCATAATTATTATTATTATTATTATTATTATTATTATTATTATTATTATTATTATTACTATTGACACCATTTGATAATAGACAATCTTGTCTGCCATCACTGATTCTCCCTACCACTACCTCTAACCATCTGCCAAATATTTATTGCATATTGATTAAACCCTCTTCCTTCCCAGCAGGGGGTGCTGTAAAATAACATGTAAAGTCAAAGGCTGGAAGTTGACACAACACAGTTTTTATATGGAACTGATCACGTCACTCTAACTTAAAAATTCCACAAGAGTAACTAAAGTTAAGGAACCTGTACTCACCTACTGGAGTGTTTTTCAACCTTGGGGTCACAACCCCACGTGGGGTCGTCTGAAATTCAAATAGGGTCGCCTGAAATGTCTAGTAATTGTAGTCATACAGGTGGAGAGCAGAGTTGTATCATTCTGTGTTTTTCCTTGGACAGCTGCAGCCAATCACATTACACTGGTAATAACTGACATTATTCAGTCCCTCAGCCTGCTTCACTGAACGGGAGATTTCATAACCAACTGGGTGACTAAGACTTTCTGCCTTGTTGAACTTTGCTTCGGGTGAAGGGCCGTGCCAAAAGCCTTGTATTTAAAATCAGTTTTGCAAAAACGTCTGCAGAGGATAAAAGCTTATGATTTAGGTAACACTGTGGCCTTTCCAACGGCACAACCCTGTGGCAACGTGTCTTTAATCTGACAGAATAACAACAGGTTTTCAGCCACTCTTTGTGAAGTACTCAGACAGTGACCTTAAATATTAATATTTTATTTTCCATTTTTACTTCATTCTTGGTTTATCCTGTTCATTGGTGTTTTATACGCTTTGAGTGCAATTTGCACACAATCATGTGCGTATTCTGCCAGCGGAATTTTTGTTTTGTTTTTTTTGCATTGCAAATTAATTTCAGGGTACATTACCACCACCTACTGGTGTGGCGTATGTGCCCAACTGTGAGAAAATAGAGGCTAGAAAACGGTAGCATTAATTATTAAGTTATATTGTTATTATGTTTGATTTTTCACGTTTCATTTTGTCTGTAATTTATTAGTTAAATTAGCGTTAACGTTAAAGTTGCGTGTATATGAGATGATTTATAAAAGTCAGCATATTTGTCTGGCTTCTTCATTATTCTTTCATCAAGTCCAGTTTCTTCTGATATTCCTTGGCTAACATAATCTCCACACTCGATTCTCCCATCATGCACCTACCCAACACTGAACCAGTTGATCATCACGCTGTAACCAGGAGCGCCCTCTCCTGTTACTGATAATCAAGGGTTGAATCTTAAAACAATGATGTCATAAATACTGTAGACTACATCTGGGTGAAGTGTCTTGGTTTCAGACGCAGAGGTTTGATTTGGGAGGTGATGAAGGGAGATGAATGTAAAATCAGATTGGAAAGAAGACACAGATATTGGATTTGCTGCGACTCCATCCTTTGATGAGGAGAATGAGATTACGGAGTCAGATGAGAGCCATAAAGAAGGATGAATCGCCTGGTCTGTCGTCTTCACACACTTTTTTTCCCTCCCCAAACCAACTGTTTCCACCAAAGTCATACAGGCGTCAAAGTGAAGCTCAGCAGCATCATATACTAATAATAATAATAATAATAATAATAAATGCCATCTCAACTATTTACACCAAAAGAGAACGTCCTTACAGCCCCTCTCCTGCAGGGTGTGCTATAAACACATTTTGTGTATGTTCATAAGATATAAGTTCAAAATGTACAAAACTGCATCAAAATACTAAGAAAACAATTTCCCTCAACTGTAGGCCGCTGGATAGAAAACCACAGCCCATGACAGACCCGCCATCCAGATATTAAATACACCCAAACAGAAGACTCTGTGTAGTTTCAATAATACTGTAACAAACACAAAAAAGTTTTTAATTGATGATTTATGAGTTGCTGATCTGCCTTGTGATTAAACTTTAAAGGTTAATGTCCTACTAGTTAACATTTACACTCTGGAAAAATTGGGAAAATACAATCGTAGGGCAAAAAAAAAAAGTAAATATAGTAAATACCACAGAAAAGTGGTATTGTTGTCCAGGGTGAACACGGCCTGATGAACGCTGTGATTGGCTGATATAAGTAGGGTAAGATAAATAAATGAGGATTATGAGAATTACAATACACTATATTATATCACTATATATATATATTTTTTTGACTAAACAAACTTAGCACAGCACAACTTAATGCCCTGGTGGTCAAATTCTGCCTACAAGCACATACCAGTGCTTACTAATTAGAACTAATTACACTTTGTTTGTGTGCATACATGGGAAACAGTATGGGGTTTGTTGTGCCAGAGTATGGCTTGGCAGGAGTGGGTGGTCAGACACAGTGGAGTGGAGACGCCAGGAAGTTAATGCTCATGGCAAAAGAATAGTTCCACAGCATAAAAAACGACTTTTTGTTACCTTCACAGGCGGTCGACGCTGTCTCCCGTATTCATGCCAAATTAACTGGCAACAGATTCATACTTTGATTAGAAACGTGTGTTTTTTCCGTCCTGTCCGACAGTTAGCAGTGTCGGATTTTGCCTTTATGAGACACTTATTATTAAACATTTATTCAGTGGGAGTTCAGGCAACTCAGTACTGCAACAGATATGGAGAAAAAAGTTTTTGGACTGTGGGAGGAAACTGGAGTAGCCCAAATACAGACGGGGAGCTAAATCCTAAGTACGGACAGAACGAATATCATTTAGAGGCAGGGTTTGACCTAGTGATCTTCCTGCTGTTAGGCAAGAGTGCTTACCACTGTTCCACAGTGCGCGTATCCTTGCTAGTACTTTTTCTTCATCACTCCATACTTTGTAATTTTTCACTGCAGTTAAATACATACAGATATAAAGAAATAATTTTTTCTTGCTTGATAGCTTGGACGTTGTTAGTATTTGCTTATGTTTCCTTGTCTGTGTTAGCTGCAGTGCTAAGCAATGCTAGTTTCCTAATAGTTGTACAGGATGATCTTTTTTTTTTGTTTCTCTGTCTGAACCGTTATTTCTATGGTGGTAATAAAACATCCAATCAACTTTATTGACTGAATTAAAAGAGAAATGATCACCTGACATTAACATAAGTGTCATGGCATACACTGCAGCGAGCCACCTGGTGGCATGCTTTGGTCTGCTGCCATGTCATCTATATTTCATTCAGTTCATTCTATTTGTTCCTGCACCGACTCCCACAGCATCATCGTAAACACCACACGGTCTTTATTACAGCAGGCGGCGGCTCAGTGTTGTGTTCATTTGTGATTCCATAGCACACGTCCCGCCATAAAGACCGAGTCCAATCTCCAAATGCTTCCTCTCAGCATAGGTTGAAATCAACAGTGTGACTCAAAATCCATGTTCCACTCTAACAGGGGCACTTACCACATCATAAATGCTGAAAAATTCATACTCCATATAAGAGCAAACGCCTCACTGTAATATTGAAAGATGACTGCGGCTAAATGGAAATCTCTGGGGAGTGTTTCAGATCTCCGTCTATGACATTTTGAGGCATTGAAAGCCACAAGGTAAGACAGATACAATTTAGAGTTTCCCGTGGAAGCAGTGAATTGGAAAAAAAAGTTTCTGTGGTGCGTTCAAATGACCATTAGCTTCTGGATGTGAGGACAGGAAACCTTGATATTGTAATGGTTTAATCACCTAATTTCTTTAGTCTGTAGAAGGGCAAACTGAACGGCTCTTTCTTTGTAGTGCTAGTGCAGCTGCGTCGTGACTTTGAATAGAAATTCATCAGCCATGACCTAATGAATACTGCAGCTTTGAGGGTTTGATTTTTTTCTTCATGTTCACCACTGCAGCTTTGAGGGTTTGATTTTTTTTCATCATGTTCACCTGACAGGTTTGTTAATAGTGCTTCATGAACAGTTCACACTCTTACCCATAAGTCAGAAAATGATCTCCTGAAGCCTCAATCTGTAGGTCCAAACATGGACATGGAAAACTTTTCAAACAAGTCAGCAGCAGACCCTCAGCTCCTGTGTCCAGTTGAGCTAAAAATATAAATAGACATACTTTAAGATGGACTGCAGTGCTCGGCATTTAAAGATTTATAAACTTTAGTTTGCAATCAGAAAAAAAGAAAGAAAAAAAGGCCAAAGATAGTGTTCAGCTGTGTCCCCACTGACGGACATGTTTTCTCAAATTTGTTGCGTGACCGAGCTCTGACCTCTGTCCAGTATAAAATGGGACTGGACGTTGTTTTCACTCAACCTTAGGAGGATCATAAATCCCATGTAAACACTTGTTTTCATGATAATATTACATCTTTATCTCGTTGACATAAAAGTAGCTTCAACCTAGGTGGGGGGGGAGGGGGGTATGTGAGCTTATTCTTCTATAATGATAAATGTCAATCTTCTGGGGGGGGGGGGGGGGGGTGAGGTGTTTGTTCTATAATGATAAATGTCAATGTTCCGAGGACATGCCTGATGGTATGATATGGTATGATATGGTATGGTTGAAGCTTTATGGTGTGGTATGAAGTGTTTTTGCTATGATTGGTATATGGTGTAGAATGTTAAATATCTGACGTGTTTGATTTCCAGTTCTTATGTAAGTGTATTGTAGATAGGCCTATTGGGACAGACCGTTTTTTAATGTGTATGAATAGAAACTTCAGCAATATATACCAAGATATTAGTCTGGTTGAAAACAGAAAACATCCACAGAATCCTGCGTCACTTCAGCTCTCTCCTCCAAAGCAAACTCATGTTTCTGTCTGCATTATCATAATGCACTTTGAGCAGCTGCCATCCACCTCACTGTTTCTCCGGGGCTGGAGATGCTGCATTCATTCCAAAAGGACATTTGCCACTGCAATGTAAATGGAAATTAGCTCAAAAAAGCTTCACCAAGACGGAGGTTTCTGCAGCCTTCCAAATGCCCACCGAAAATGCAAGCGATCTGGAGAGGTGCTGCTCTCTGGCTCCTGGGCTCCCAGATAAGATGCTGGTTATGAAGTGGTCTGAGAAAAGTTTCAAAGTTCCTCGACCTTCCAGCACTCGCAGATTCATGAGGCAGCACTATTGATTTAAACAGGTGTAAAGGCTTCTTCACCTGCTCAGGGTATTTATTAATGTCAGGGGGCAACGGGGTTATTGCACAAGACAGTGTCACTGATGCCACAGGACACGTTTTTGCCAGGGGATCCAGACAATATTAATTTTGCTTTCACCTTATATTGTGGGGAAGGAGCAGCGGCCGGGTCCGCAGCACACTTCTGGGAGACGGCTGCCAAAACTGAAGTGCCCAGACAGAGGTTAATAACATTTTATTCTTGGGTATATCTGTGAAGTGCTTGAACCGACAGCAGAGTCATATTTGACTCACTTTCTAACGTAATATATTCAGGATGAGTCCTCGTGCTTTAGAAATACAACGGTACTGTTCTTTCACTGGCTCAGCAAGTTAATTAAAGTATGTAGGTTAGCGCTAATACATGTTAGCATTGGTCAATTTTCCAAAGATTTGACAAATAATTAAAATGTGTTCGTTTTTTCCATTGTACCAAAAGACATTTTTAGGTGATAAACATAACTTTGTTGACTAAGTAGTGAAATGAATTCAGTAGGTCATTAGGTCTTTGTCCTGGAACTTTGAGTAGGACAACTAGTTCTACTGTACCGGTCTGCCTGATGTCCAGAACTACACTAGTGTAAATGTTGTCCAGGAGACCAGGACAATTGGACAATGTCAACCCAGACTATCGAGCTGCTCAGGTCCTTCTAACTTGTATCTATCCATCATCCATCCATCCATCCATCCATCCATCCATCCATCTTCAAAGTTAAATTAAAGAAATAGCAAAGCAACGGTCAATAAACCCATGAACATTTTCAGTTCGTCCTTCTTCCTCTTGAAGTACTTATTAAAAAAACATACAAACTTTGTGTGCGTACTTGTGGGGACACTTTGTTCTTGTGGGGACATTTTGCTGGTCCCCACCGAGTGACGAGGGTTAGGGTTATTGTGGTGAGACCAGAGTTAGGAGACGAGTTAAAACTGGTGGATATGGGACTAGGAACAGCATGACCTCTGAATGAAGGGCTCACAACAGACAAAAACCTGTGTGTGTGTGTGTGTGACTGGTAATGTAGTCATAGGTCACACTTATCCCAATCCCTTTTGTGAATGGCTGATTAACGCCGAGTCGGTGGCTTAAGTTAAAGCAGAGCAGCAACACAGAGGCTGTGGAGCAGAGACGAGAGGAGACGGCATGGCTCAGATAAAGAACAGTAAGATCTGGTTCTAATTATACGTTACTCTTTCTTTATACTTATTTCTTAATGCCGGTGTTGATTACTAACAATAGCACTAACACGGCGGCTAACACGTGAATGAGTGACACTGCTAACCCGCCTCCGTGACACATTACACGCTTCAATAAAACAAAAGGTCTTTGATTTGGTCCTGAAAAAATTTCGTTTTCTCTTGAATTTTCTCATTAGCACTTCTAAGACTTAATTACACCGCATTTATCAATGACTCAGACCCAGAATATATCAACGAGAAACAACGTGATCATAATTTTAATAGCCATTTAGCGACAATTCACCTCAAAATTAAACGCAGGTTTTCACTGTCCTGTTGAATAGCGCTAAATTAACAAAGAAAATTATTTTGGTTTTCCGTGCCGTCTATTGATTTACTGTTTGTCAGAGTTATGTGAGCACAATGAGTCTATTGTGAAACGCTGCAAGAATTTATCTGTGGAACAACAGACTGATTAGTCTTAGCTAACTCCCCTTCTCACCCCTCCTCTCCCCCCCTTCACCACAGTCCAGTTCTCCTTCAGGGAGTACACACCTTCTGATAAGTATGTCATCCTGTCACTCTTCCGTGATGGAATCATTGAACATGTATACCCGTCCTTCTTCAAGACCATGTCTCACCCAGACCACATCGGCATCGCTCTGAGTATCTCCATGGCCGGTTACGTCTTAGGAGGAAGCTCCTTCTTCCAGGCTCTCCTCTTTGGCAGTGCATGGGCTGGCCTCCTTTATTACTGCTGCCGTGAAATCTATGAAGGCTATATGACGAGGCGGTTGAGCTCAGATATGGCCAACATTCAAGCCAATTATCTGGAAAACTCCGATAATGGCTTCTGGGTGGCCGAGGCAGATGTAGGAGGCAAGGCCAAGGTGGTGGGGATTCTGGCAGTGATGGGGAAGAAAGAAGAGGAGGAAAGTGAGAGGTTTGACAACATGAATGGAGGAGTAACACCAGGAGGCGCCGAAATCTTCCAAGATGCTGAAGGCAGCGTTTACGGCGAGATGTCTCTCATGGTGGTGGTTTTTCCTTGGCGCAAGAAAAACCTGGGCTCCCTGCTGATGCAGAAGGCTCTGGACTTCTGCAAGGAGCAAGGCTACGGCCGCCTCGTCCTGGAAGTCAGCTCACCGCAGACGGCAGCCATTTCTCTGTGCAAAAAGTTCGGCTTTGTTCAGATCGCATCCCATAGTAACACGCACACCAATCGCTGGGTCTCTAAACTGGCCAGAATAAACGTGTTGAAGATGGAGAAGATCATTTAAAGAGAGAAGGACTTACACCAGCAGAACGTCCACTCTACAGCACGATTCTGTTCATGCTGCATGTTTTATTCAGTGTTGTCTTTTTGAACAACCTCTAGTCACAGGTCGCTTCTCCAGTTTGCTGTCATTGCTGATCAGAAGATATAAGTGCATTAAAGTTCATGTTTTTCCACAAAGTACCTGGAATGATCACAGTTTCCTTGTATTTTTCTCTTGCCTTGATGTATTATGGATACACCTGCACCAGACGTTCGATGGCGGTGTTTCCCTGGCACATTTGTTTCATTAGAAAAACCCCGGCTCACCACCAAAATAAATCTCAAAATATATGTATGTATATATAATAATAATCTTCTTTTAATTTACTCTCTAAAATCTTGGCCTGTTTAGTTGAAGACAATGCCAGTATACTCACAGGAATTGAAGAAAGTAATTCCCAAAGATCTTCTTCAACAGCTCTAATTCTCCTTTTTTTTTTGGAGTTTTCATAACTATTATATTTATATTTAATATTTTTCTGCCTATCATGTATGCATTGACGAAAAAAGAACATTTGTTTTTGCAACAAGTAAATAATAGTTTTCAGACCAATTAAATGCCACCGCACAGTGGTTGGGAATCCAAGGTCAATCAAAACTGGAAAAAAAATAACATGATATTTAAAAATTCTGATTTGACGTGTCGGAGAATCAGATCTGTTCAGTTTCAGTTATCTAATTTTATCTTTTTGTAAAAGGAAGATAAAAGTGTAAGTGGTAAAAGGGAGTTTTCAGGTCAATAGAAAGGAGTTTTTTTTTTCCCCAGCTTCTTTGCAGTAAGGAGGCGAATCCTCCAGCCTCAGAGGAATTAATGCCATCTGACTTCTAAGACCTCACGACTCTTTGCTTAAAATACCAATGAAAAATGCCATAGTATGGAGACATTGAGAGGTTTAAAATTCTTTAGTGTTGAAAGAGCTGTGTTAGTGTGTGACGCATGCAAATAGGATAGAGTTCAGCTGCCCTGCATTCAACACAGGGAGAAAACTCAGATTAGAGACAACAAACAACAGAGAGTCTCTGAGGCTCAAGTGCGGCCATGTTGGTGGTCTTACCTTCAAATGACTTTGTAATAATTATAGTTTAACAATAATGAGTTTTGTGTTAATGTTTTTATTAAATAAGTGTACAACAGTAGTCAGAAAGTATCAAGGACCTGGGCCTGCTCTGTCTCCTCTTCAACCATGTGTTGAACTAGCTTCTGTTTCTCTCATCAATGCTTGAAATACTTAAAACAAAAGGTACAAAGCTACAAAGTATGGGGTAGTACTTGGAGTACTCATTCATGCCTGCTTAAATCTTTGGCACATGTACATGTAAAAAACTATTTTCGTTCAAGTTATGAGTGTGAATGCTTGTCTGTTAATGTGGAGTGTACCATCACAGCCAAGTGGGCCACAGATTTGGTGCAAACTATAGGTAACATGGTAATGTTGCGTTGCACTTGTAATGTTATTTTTTCTTTGTCATTTGTACTTTAAAAAATGGAGGCTAGTACATTTAAAAACTGTACATCATACTGTAGAATATTGTATGCTGCATTAATTTTTTAATGTTTTTTTTTTTGTCATTTGTACTTTAATAAATGGAGACTAGTGCATTATTTGCGTTGCACTTGTAATGTTATTTTTTTTTTGTCATTTTTGTCATGGAAGCTAGTACATTTAAAAACTGTACATCATACTGTAGAATATTGTATACTGAATTAATATTTTAGTGATTTTTTTTTTACTTTTTGGGTTTCAATGAAATTTCAAATAACTGCAGTGTTCAAAAGAAAATCTTCTCTAATTTCCTACTCCTGGAGTACTTTCTGATAAATTTATTGTCAAACGAACTTATGTAGCAGTAGCTGATTAATGTATACATATATTACAGTATATGTTTTATTCAAGTACAGGGGCTCAGTACTATAATCTCAAAATTCTAATCCGCATCATGTTCTGTAGTACGGGCCTTCCTCTGAAGAGTGCGTGCCCACGGACTGCGAGCCTATGTGGGCAACATCAAGTGGTGCGGCAACAGGTGTGGTCATAAATGAGTTTCAAGTGCAGCAGTACTTTATGGCCAGAGCAGCTTGGCACTGAGAATTCCCCTCACCATCAGAGGCTTTCAGGCATCAATCACTGTCGGAGAGGAATTAGGCCGGTGGCCAGCAGGCAGGTGCTGAAGCGGCCAGATGAAGATGAGCCCTAACGCCGGCCAACCTGTTGTTATCCTCCCACAATTACCACTACAAATGGCCTCAAGGTAATGATGGCTTGATTGTAATTCCTCTCATCCACCGGCTGCACCAATGAGTCAGTCGCTAACTTGTGGCTCTGTGAGATGAAAAAAAAAAAAGAAATTCTCGGCCCGTTCTGTGACGACAATCAGTTTGGAATACATGTCTGTATTTTCAGCACTAATGAATCCAAATGGTTCACTTTTATTCTTTGTAAACTATAATCAAAACTGTAATGGCCTTTCATTTCAGAGGGAACGGGTCACGAACAGGTCACAGTTAATCTAAAATCACAAACACTGTGAAATAAGAACCAAAGCTTCACTCTGGGTCTTTGGCCATGATGAAAATGTGAAATGCACAGCAGTGGTTCTCAATTATCCTCCCGCCCTGTGCCGACTCTGAGCAAATTCACCTGTTCCCAAGTACCATTAGTATGACCGACTTAAAAATACAGAGACACAGGCCTACCTTTCCATCTGAGCACAGTATACAAAGGATATTGCTGTATATACATATGTATCCTTTATGTATATCGTACAAATATGTAGAAAATACTTGGCAATTTACTTTACTTCTGGAAGTGCATTTTATCCATGTACACGATATTACATTATATAACTTACATTTGTACTTTACTTCTGTATTGTACTGTACAGTACTGTACTGCTGTAGGACGAATGAAGGGCTTCTTATCTTATATTTTGCCATGTTGTTTAAGAAAAATTTGAACCCCTGTGTTCCACTAGAGGGAGCCCAGGTGCCACGGGTGGTTTGCGTGCCGTAGTTTTTTCCCCTGTGTCAGTGTGCAGTGGCAGCAGCTCCTCTTGCATCGCTAAATAGTGTAAACATTGGACAATGACATTTGCAGTTGGTCGGCTCTCCATTTGAATTCTGGTCCAAATGAACCGCAGCACTTTTTTTTATTTTTTTTTTATAGACTGATTGTTTTGTTGCCGTGTTTACGTAGATGTTCTGTTCATTCTCACTTCCTCTCAAATTCCGAACACAGAGAGGGTGATTGTTGGTTAACCGAGCTTTTTGAATGAGGCCGTGGATGTGAATGGTTGGTTTGAGTTTGAATGGTTGAGAGTAAATGGATGTTTAAAAAAAAAAGAATGGAACCAAAATACCTCATCTCTGGAAAGGCAGTTTTTGCAGCGTATGTGCTGAAATGCAGTTTTCCTTAAAAACCAACAGTATTCGTCTGCTGCTGTAGGCTTTGATACAAACTACGGGAACCAACATGGCGGCCTGTGTACTTTGAGTCACTCTTGGTGTAAAGAGCAAAAATGACTCATTTCCACTCATCTGTAGATAATATTCTATGACTGTTTTCTGCTACGATTTCCCGTTCAGTCTTCTGTCATTTGTCATCTTTTTCAGCCCACATCACAGAGATGTTTCCAGAGATCCGTGATGAGTGCTGTTGATAAATGTTGATGAATGCAGTAAATCTACATGAAATCCTCCTTTGATTCACTCTTGTAAAACAATACGGCTGTGACTGCTGAGTGAAATTTGAATTTCTAACGCTCGCTGCACGCACCAGTAGAGAGAACAGAGATTTTATTAGCCTTAATGAGTGGATTAATACCACAGAACAAATCCTCACCCTGATCCCTGTGTTTTTTTCTCCTTTGTCTCATTATTTTCACTTTGTTTTTTTCGCTTTTTTTTTCTTTAAAAAAAAAAAAAACATTTTCATCCGTCTGTCGTCACTCACCCACAGCGGGTTTGCTTTTTGAGATAACGCGTAAGATCAATAACGAAGGCTGACTCTCATCAACGGATGAGCTTCAAAAATCCAATTTCATTGTCCACTATTTTAGGGCCAAGCAAGTGTGAATGTCTGTGTGCGTTTGTGTCACTGTGTGTGTGCGTGTGTGTGCGTGCGTGCAGGGATTATCTTGAGTGTTCCTCCGGGCACGTGCTCCCAGATTCTCTCGTTAATCTGCCACACATCGTGATCGGAGCAGCACAGGTTGAGCCAGAAAGTTAGTAAAACTTACGTCGAACTTTGTCGTCAACGTTACAAACAGCGTCTCTGTGTTAACAGGTCTGACGCTAATCCCGCGTTTAGCGCATCTGTTTAATTAAAAGCGTTAATGGAGATGAACTGCACGTGGACCGAAGTCGTCCGCGTCCGGTCGTCACATCACAGAACAGGGACGTGTTGGGCTCATACATCATCTCACGCTTTTACAACATCACTTTTCATTCTGTCGAAAAACCACCGAAGACGCACCTGTCCAATTAGCCGAGGTGTTAATCATATTTAACGGAGGCATTCTTAGCACAAACATAACTTATCATGTGCTGTCGATACGCTCCGAATTAGGAGAATCTGCACTTCCACTGATGTATTAGCCATTTATTGGTTTACATCGTTCGGAAAGTCAGAAAGATTTTCAATGTAGTTACGTAAGAGAAGATATTCGACCACTGCAGTGACTCACAGACGGTAAACAACAGGTGAGAGGATGTGGTAACTGGATCATTAAAACTCCAGGCCACGACTGAAAAAAATAAATCAAAAAATTAACGGCAACATCGTCACTGTTTCGTTATCATTTGAGATTGGATAAAATCACATTATACGAACAAATATGGAATTAGATTCTGCCACTTAGTTAGTATTGTTTGCACCACAGTGAACCTCTACATTGTGTATAAATGTTCCAGACAATATTAGGGCTGTTGCTCGTTTGCTGAGCCGCGGCTCCAAGAGGACTCTGGGGAGTTGGACCAAGAGATAATTGGACACAACAACCTAAAAAACTGATCTCAGCTGTTGCAATTAGAAGAAATATCAATTTCTCCACGCTCCAGACTGGATGCTGAGTTACACACAAGAGCAATAATAACGGAGTGATCCTCGGATGGTGTACTGCGCCGCTGCAATATTTTAGGATAATGAACAGGAACACGGGAGTCTCTGTCGTAGTAAAGGGCTTCTTTTTTTGAAATAGTGGAATGAAAAAAGTCTCCAAATATTTTTCATTACATTCATGGGGCTCAGAAATGACTGTGTGCTGTGCAGAGGGGCAGAAAAAACCTTAAACTTTATTACCTCAGCCAGACTACAGCAGGACATTGTGAGTTCCTTCAGAGATTGTATGCGAGTGTCAACT